TGGCTTATTGAGATTTCTTGATGTGTTCGACAGTCTGCTGCAGCAATTTCTCGTACTGGACACCAAATTCAATGGTTCCTGGAGTTGCAGCAGTTCGGTTTTTAGGCATGAGGAAGTCTAGAGCAGACCTAGGCTTCCATCCCAGATGCAATGGTGCTATGTACAACATTGTCGTACAAACTGGCGATGAGAGGTAGTTTCTCATCCCAGTCATCCTGGCTGGGCTTGATGTAATGCCTCAGCAAATGCTGCACCACCGCTTCATCTTTTCAGCCTGTCCATTTGCTTCGGATGATTCCCAGAAGTCATCTGAAGCTGGCTGCCCATCTGTTCCGCGGCCTTCTTCCGCATCTCACTGGTAAACCGGACATCTCTATCAGTAACAATGATCTTTGGTAGTCCAAAGTCATGCACCCAGTTGTCCATGAACAATTTAATGACGTGCTCAGTCCTGGCAGTCTCCGACATGACAATTAGTCTAGCATACTTAGTGAACCTATCCACTATGACGAAGATGTGCCTCTTGCCATTCTTGTTGGTCACGAGAGTATCCATGAAGTCCATGGAGATACTCTGCCCTGGGCCAGTAGGAATGGGTAGAGGCTTGAGTAACCCAAGCGGAGCTTGAGTCCGTGGCTTGTCCCGCTGACAGAGCTGATAATTTTGTACGTACTTCTTTGCATCGTCCAACATGTTAGGCCACTAGGATCGTTGTACTAAGTTAGCACTAGTCTTCTTGTAGCCGAAATGTCCCGTTGCGTCGTGGCACTCACCTAAAAATCAACTACACAAAATTTTCCTAAATGGAACAACTAACCTCTTAAACCCGGCCTTTTCAAGAAAGAGTAACCCATCCACCATCACAAACTCGTCAGAGGTGGCCTTGTCTTTGGCCTGCAGTTTGTTGATGTCCATCGTGATGGGATCTTCCTTGTAGGCTTCTCCCAAAGATGGAGTAACGTCCTCAGATAAGCCAAACTCATAAACAACGCACCTAGGTAATCTGCCCTTTCAGACAACGCATCTGCAACCTTGTTGTACTCTCCCTTCATATAGTCTAGTTTGAAGTCATACTGATCTATAAACTCAATCCAGCGTTTGAGAGCATCGAAGAGAACTGGTTGGGTCTTGATCCACTTGAGGGTCTGATAGTCAGTTGTCAAGTAAAAGAACCTTCCTAACAGATAGTGCCTCCAGTGGACAAGTGCCTTGTAGAGAGCGTAGAGTTCCCTCTCGTAGGTGGACTTTGCCAACTTCTTTGATGACATCTTTTTGCTCATATACTCGATCGGTCTCAGCTTTTTCCCTTCCTGCTGAGCCAGTACTGCGCCAATGCTATATTGGCTTGCGTCAATGGTTACAACGAATGGCCTCTGCGGGTCGGGTACCATGAGAACCTCATGGTGCGTGAGAGCATGCTTCAAACGCTTGAAAGCTGCTTCACACTTGTCGGTTCAGTCCCATGGTGTGTCAAGTCGAGTTAGATCAGTCAAGGGAGATGCAATCGTACTATAATTCTTCACGAAATTGCGATAATATCCACACATTTTCAAGAATGATTTGACCTCAGTCGCAGACTGGGGTCGTGGCCAGTCACGTATGCTAGCCACCTTTGCATCTTCGGGCCTAATCCCATCCGCGGATACTTCATGACCCAAGTACAAGATTCGAGTGCGACCGAACTCTTCTCTGCACCCTATCCAATAGTTCGTCGATGCGAGGTAGAGGCTCTGCGTTCTTAACCGTGATGGCATTGAGGCCTCTATAATCAATGCACATCCTTAGTGTTCCCCCTTTCTTTGGAACAAATAAGACTGGTGAGCCAAAGGGGGAGGTGCTAGGCCAAATCCAACCCTTCTCTGTGAGCTCTTTCAGTTGCCGCCGAAGTTTGTCCAACTCGGTTGGAGCCATCTTATAGATTCTCCCTTTGGGTGTCTTGCTCCCAGGAATGATCTCTATGGAATGGACAATCTCCCTGTCTACGACTCCTGTAGGCTCCTCAAACAGATCAGGGTACTTAGCGACGATGGTCTCTAATACTCTCGATCTCTGGGGGTGTTTTAACAGTCTCCCCTTTTGCAGAGACATAAACTAAGTACATACCTTCCTCTTGGTTCTGTTTATAATAGTTGTAAATGGCCGATGCGCACAAACACCCATAGGAGTCTATCAACCTACTAGCTTTATATTTAGCTAGTCTAACGATCCTCCCATTAGGCAATTCGTGCTTCAACACTTTCTTGTCCCAGTCAAACTGGGGCTTGGCCGAATCCAACCCTTCGCTGAGCTCTTTCAGTTGTTACCGAAGTTTGTCCAACTCGGCCGTACATGATTCAACACTTGCTTGTCCCGGTCAAACTGGGGCTTGGCAACCTCGAGGTAGTATATGCCCAACAACATGTCGAAAGGCAAATCGTCGCTCACTAGGAATGCTATCTTACAATTTAACTCGCCTCCTGGGTAGGAAAAAGTGCAGACCACGTCTTTAACATAGTCCTCCACCATCATGCGCTCTTTGTTGGCCAAAGTAGATGCTACCAAAGTAGATGCTACCAGTCTACTAAGGCGCTGCACCTGGTCCTTTAGGCGCAGTCTCTCAACGCAGTCGCGACTTATGAAGTTTAGCGTTGAGCCAATGTCTACGAAGACACTGCACTTGTGGTAACCCACACCAACTTCCACAACGAAGTGCTCCCCTCTAGGACCTCTACTTAGTGGAACCCAGGACTCACAAGGGTCTCTTGCCGACCACTCACCTTGAAGGTCCTCTAAGGCTTCAGACACATCCAACGTACAAAGTATAGTTGGGTCTGGATGCGTCTGCGGGGTGACTAAGGAGTCAATAGCTTCAGCCAACTCTTGGAACGGGGAGGGTACATCACCCGCTTGAATGAGAGTAGAAGCAGCTACAACTTCTACTGGCCCTAAGTGTTTTCCGAACTGGAGCTCGTAGAGGCCCCAAACTGAGAAGAAGGAAACCCACCCTTAGGAGGGATCTTCTGCAAGACCTTCGCGTTCTTGCAGTTAAACTGCTGATGGCCATATTCGCGGCAGTTTATGCAAGCCCCACACTGCCAACGGTTCTGCCACACTTCTTGATCCAAGCCTGCTCTAACCCAAGCAGCTATTTTGTTTGGGTTAGCGGCCTACCCCGGACTCCTTTGCTGACCACACTCTTGATCCAAGCCTGCTCTAACCCAAGCAGCTATTTTGTTTGGGTTAGGGGCAAATGTCAAGTCCATACCTTTCTCGGCCTTTTGGCTAAGATCACGTGTAGTATCTTTTTTTTTTTTCTTTTTTCTTTTTTTAAATTGGGAGTGTTTTTTTTCTTGTTATCAGTTCAATATCTGATCCGTGGTCCATAGTCTGTCCAAGCTCTGAACGGTGGTCATATGTACAGGGGCATCCATGAAAGTTGAACAGGTGCTGGTAGGGGCATACTGAAAGAAGTGGAACAGGTAATCGTAAGGGCATACTGAAAATATGGCCAAGCGACAGTGGGGATATTTTGCAGACATGAATTGTCAGCGGATGGCGTGTCAGAATAAGCCCACTGTTTGAGGGGCAGAACGCAAATAAAAATAGCATCTTTGAGGGGGCATAACGGAAATTTCCCCTCAAACAAAACCATTGTAGGGCAGCCTTCCATCCCACAGGTAGAATAACATCCCGTGCCCGATGGAGCCTTCCATCCCACAGTGATGGCTCCCATCCGTTTATGGGGACCAGCACCTGCTCGGAAACGGGCCCAGCCAGCATCCCTTAACACTGTGATTCCTCAGGAAGTTGCCGATGGAACAACATTGATTGCCTGGACTACCGTAGGTGCCAATGGATTAACTAAAGAAAGCCTGCCAGCATCCAGAAGAACACCAGAGAATAAGAGGGTCCAAAAGGCCTCTTCAGCTAAAGAAAGGCTGCCAGACAATGCCTAATGCATGGGCCTCCCTGGTGTGGTTCCATCAATCCGCCCCGACCCCTGCAAGCTCCACCATTGCTGCATCAGTGAGAGGGAAGGAGTCTGGGAACTGGGAAACACCAGCTCTCGTTGGGAAGGAAGGAGGAAGGGGGAAGGGTCGATGTTGAATGGCTTGAGCCATTCTCTCAAGGACACGGGGACCCTCTCGGGAACTGGGAAGCCGCTCTCATTGGGAAGGAAGGGTCGATGTTGAGGCAATCTTTCAAGGACACGGGGACCCCCTGCATGCTTGTCATATCCGCTTTGGGTTCAGCGATGGGAGGTCTGTTTTTTAAAATTTTCAATTTTTAATAAGTAACTCCAAAGCAACACTTAGCAAAAAAGTGTTCGACTAGCGATTCTGCATAACGTACTTTTTTTTTTTTTTCCAGATTTTACTGAGTGTTTAAAAATTCTTTCATTTTCGCGCCCAGGACCTTGCCCGGACCTTGCCCGGACCTTGCCCGGACCTTGCCCGGACCTTGCCCAGCCACGTCAACCGATAGCCAGAGGCAGCCAGGCTCGTAACTCAGGTTGTCCTTCTCTGTTTTTAGCAATTACAATTATTATTACATTGGCTATGATAATCCTCGTCCTCTTTTACGTAATTTGTTATTTCCATTTTTTTAAGCCAGCCTCAACCCACTAGAGAGGGTGGTATGAGCGCGCGCCCCCCTCGTGCGTGCCCTCGCTGGCTGCTCCAATCTATGGATGGGGAGCCTCACCTGCTTGAAACCGGGTCCAGTGTTATCCTCGTCCTTTTTGAGAGGTGAATCGCCGGTGATGATTTTTTTTTCCGTTTATCATTCTGCCTTTTTCAGTACTGAACTATGTTGTCGAAAATGGCCCTCCTCCTCCTCCTTCTCCCTCTTCCTCCTCCCACTTCCTCCTCCCACTTCCTTCTCCCTCTTCCTCGTCCCTCTTCCTTCTCCCTCTTCTTCCTCCCTCTTCCTTCTCCTTCTTCCTTCTCCCTCTTCCTTCTCCCTCTACCTTCTCCCTCTTCCTCCTCCCTCTTCCTCCTCCCTCTTCCTCCTGTTGGCAGGTTTCGAACAAGGCCATCAGGGTGATGCTGTCTGGGGACATCCAAGCACTGCAAGAAATGAAGGAGGAAGTCAATTCAATCGGAGAATACTTAGCCCAGGAAAAACAATGGGATGCTGCACGCTTCATGCTCGTCCTCCTAGGCCTGCTGGAAAAGAAGGTATGTCGCAGACAATGGTTGGCAAGTTGTGAACATCATCAGAGTTTGAACACAGGTTTGAATGTTTAACCCAGGTAATATCAAAGTTCTGCAGCCAAAGATTGTCAATATCAACGCTTTTTGCAGCCAAAGATTGTGAATATCAAAGCTTTTTGCAGCCAAAGATTGTGAATATCGAAGCTTTTTGCAGCCAAAGAATGTGAATATCAAAACTCTTTGCAGCCAAAGATTGTGAATATTGAAGTTTGAGCCCAGTTATGAATGTTTAACCCAGAGGTTTGCAGCCAAAGGTTGTGAACAGCACAGTTTGAACGTAGGTGTGAAAGTTCAACCCAGGTGAAATATCCAAGTTTGTTTTTTTGTTATATATATATTATATATACATATATTTTCCAAACAGGTCCTTATGGTCCTGGCTCCTTTTCCATTCTGGGGAGCGTCAGTCCGGTTCCTATTCGCCCGGCACGTCGAGAATGAATACATCAATATACACGCTCACGCTTCCTTCCGTATGGCCGAAGGACCCCTGACCAGCATTGATTGCTCCTTGAAGGATCCTTGAAGGAGGATTGACTGTCAGCTTGCCTGTCCCTATATTTTTAAAATTTTTAATTGTTTTTTTTTTTTTTTTTTTTTTTTTGGGGGAAAGTTTGAATATTTGAGTCTAACCCAGGTAGTATGAAAGGTTGAATGAATAGTATGCAGACTGCCAGTACGACTAAATTCATACAGAAGGTTCCAACTTCCAAGCCTAAGCATTCCCATTTTCTCTTGTGTCTGCTTGTCGCTTGCTCTTCTCTTGGTCAGCCCTCCCACCCCTCCCATCCCTCTCTGTCCTCCCGTCACAAGTGGTTAACGGGGACACAGACTCTTTCTCCCCCATGCCTGCCTGCATCGATGCCCGGCTTGTTATGTTCTTGGCTCTCTCTTCTCCTACTCGCCTCTCTCCACCTCTCTCCCCTAGCACCCCCTCCCTTTTCTCTCTTTCTGATTGCTTCTAAAACCAATGGAGTGTGAAAAATCTTTATTGCCTGATCCTCACCTCGCCATTTTCCTTGCCGCACCCCCACTCCCCTGCAGCCATTGATACCGCCCCCTCAGTCCCCCTCTGCTGCCATATCCTCCATGGACCTCGGCTTCCCATCCCTGGGGTTCCTACAAGCGATCTGGACATTTTGCGGGCGGTGAGGCCGCTCGAGAGACCCCGACGTGCCAGTCGGCTTCGGGGGGCTCACACTAGGCACATCCGCCCAAGTTGGTACACTGTGAGACCAGTGTGTGCCTCCCACCGCTTGTCCGTATGCAGACGCTCAGCCGGCGGCCAAGTGTTCAGACCCGGCCTGCGATCGAAATTCCTGGGAGGCCTGGAGTCCCATTCCCTGTGGGGCTCTGATTGTCCAATTTAGCCTGAGAGTGTCTGCTGTTATGGAGCCCAGCCTCCCTCTTCCCATCACCCCTTGCTTGAAATTTTCCAAAAATTCCTGTTTCCTTTGCAGGTCCTTCCTGATTTGCCGCTTGACCTTGAACCGGTCTGAGTAGTACTCGTCCTGTAATGCTCGACTGAGTTCTGCCCAGGCGTCCTCTGCCGAAGTGAGCTGTGCGTCAATGCTCTCCTTGCACCTTCGTGTCCAGATTGTCCAAACGGTCAACGGGCGGAGTCTTCTGTAGAATCTTCGTTCCCAACCCTCTTGGGCTGCTGGTTCTGAGAACCAACGGGTTAGCAGGGCTGCGGTACTGCTACCGTCTTCACCCGAATAGAATGCCCGGTCCTTATAGATGTATTTGGTGCAATTTTCAGTCTACATACAGCGATAATGACCGGGCGGCATTCTATTCGGGTGAAGACGGTAGGAAGGGGGGTGTACTTGCCAGGGAATCCCAGAGGGCCCCGGCCTTAGTTTGCCCAGAGCTGTTCTGCCTTGGGCCAAGAGAGACGAGACAGTGGGCCACATCCTCTGCCGCTCCCTGCGCACAGACAGCGCAGAGCTAGCGCGTGTCTGGTGGCCCGTGGCCCATGAGCGGCGCTTGCTCAACCACTTGTTCACCGGCAGTGCAAGGCAGACTAATAGCCGCTGCATGCTTCTGATTCCAATCTTACGGATCGAGAGCACTGCATGCCATGAGATTGTTCTTCTTCCCCCCAGGCCGCCTGGTCTGTGCTTATCCCATCTGTGCACCAACGTGTTGGAGGAGTCAACCACCCTCCGTCGCAGTCTGTATCCCAGGCGTGTGGAGTAGTTCAGCACATTGATACAGCGCTCGATTCCAGGCTTGGAAGGGGAGAGCTTCCATGCCCACTCCACCAGATTGAATCCCAGGTCCTGAACAGGGACGGTTGGATCTTAGACCTATATAATAATCCTCGTCTTCGATGGATGATTCACACTTTTCTGAGCTGACCGAGGGAGAATGCGGCTTGTGTGCACAGTCCTATCCACTTGACTGACCGTTGCTCCCGGTTGCACTATGTCATGAATTGTCATAAGGGCATACACTTCGCCTGGGCCCACCAATCTGATGAACGAGAGCGCCATGTTGGGTGGGTCCTTGGCCGTCCATGTGGCACATTCTCCAGTTTGCCACCCCAGGGCGCCGTGTAAAAACAGATCATTCCACTGATGTGGCACCGAATGAAGGACCTCCAATTTCCGCTGCGGGTTGTGGCATCCCTTAATCTTCTCTCGTAGCTCGCTACCGGTGTGCCATTGATTCTGCTCTGCATTCCAAAGGTGCTCCATTCGCCGCACACCCTTCTCCAGCCATGTAACCTAGCGGCCATCCCTTGCTGTCAGGATCCATGGCGTTTCCACTTCGTCTTTGAGCCATTGGTTGCAGAACAGTGGTTGTTGCCTTAAGACCTCCCTTGTGGTGGGCCTGGGGACTTTGGTGGGGAAAATCTCTCCCCAGTTCTTGAGCAGCTGCATCCAATGCTCCGGCTGGTTGATGTTCCCCTGTTCGGGTTGCTGGCCATGCTGGTCCTGTTCATTATCGTGGATCGGTGGGAGGCCCAGGACTTGGACATTACCCAGAAGATTCCTGGCATGTTAGGGCGTGTGGAGGCTTTGGGAAGCTGTCTGATTGTATTTTAGTGCCACTGATGATGTCCAGGGTAAGTTGCGCTCGGTGAGAAGTTCAGCGACCCCGTTGGTTTGGAGTGCCCTGGTCTGTGTTTTCGGATCGAGGATGCCCAGCCCTCCCTTGCCTTTGGCCTGGGTCAAATGCTGCTAAGCAACTTTGGGAATGGCTTTCCCACTGGCCGGATTCCCAGTCCACAGGTAGGTAGGCTGTTTCACCCTCTGTCTGAAATTCTAATGCAGGGGCGGTAGGTATTCCGGGGTCCATATCGTAGCCGCATACCAGCGCATTGATGTGCATACATAGGTAGATGGAGCTGTCAACACAACCCTGCATTGGGACGCTGGACCCGGTTTCCAGCAGATACATTCACATCACTATACAGGGACGCTGGACCCGATTTCCAGCAGATACATTCTCATCATTGTATAGGGACGCTGGACCCGGTTTCCAGCAGGTGTAGCTCCCCACCAATAGATGGAGCCTTCGACGCCAGGTCCTACTTACCGGGGATGCTCTTATGACCTCGTTTAGTAGGTTTCCCATATATGAAGTTAAAAAAAAAAAAAAAAAAAAGAGAAGA